TACGACGAAGAGAAGAAACTAAGTTTAATTCGGACGTAAAGAACTTAGAACGAATAAAGTAAAATAATATAGACACAACCGAGTGAATATATGAAAACAAGAAACTGTATCTTTTGTACCGTATAGCTTTTTTTTAAAAGATATAACTGATTCTTCGATAAGATTTTCTCTGTCAGAGATTCTCTATAATTTCTAATTGTGACAGTTTCTTGTTTTCATATATTCACTCGGTTGTGTCTATATTATTTTACTTTATTCGTTCTAAGTTCTTTACGTCCGAATTAAACTTAGTTTCTTCTCTTCGTCGTATTTTACGTCAATTATCAATACAATACGTGTATACAAACAAAGGGAGAAAAGGACCGAAAAAAGATGAAATATATTGTTCGCCATAGGTCATAACCGTAGATTTAACATTGAGCTGTAGACGTCTGTTATTCCAATTTCGTTGTCAATTTTTTCTAAAAATTGTCATGCTACTGATGAAGACGATGGTAAACATCAAAAAATAATAAATAATAATTGTACTAATAAAAGTATAGTAAAAAGTATATTTTATTAATTAATGTGCTGTAGTACCAATAAATTTTGTAAAGATTTTCTACATGTGTATGATATTGTTTTGTCTTTCAGCATGTACATATACATTTAATTTACTATTTTTAGACTTGTACTTTTTTGGCGTTGTTCGTGCGTTAAGTTTTACACGTATAAACAATTGCTTGTGTGTTTGTTTTCTGGCTTGTTTGGTTTAATCTTTCATTTATTTATTTTAACGAATATCGATAGAAATGTCAAAAAGAAATTTACAGGATGGTAGTGATAATCCGGGAAAGAAAATGTACGCAGAAAAGCGCATTCTTGTTTTTCTTTTATTTACTATAATAATGTTTACTTTTCTCTTCATTTTAGTGTTAAGCAAGGAATGAAAGAAAACATGAATACGACATCGAATATTCATCAAAATCAAACTGTTCCTCCTCCAGATACATTTTCAAGGGTAAAAAGCAGTGACTATTATCAGTTGGCAGAGTGTGTCCTACTTCGATGAGAATTTGAAAGAATTAGTGTGTTGCTCATCTTTCATGGACGTTTTAGATTTTGTAGCATACTAATATGCTGTGAATTCATTTTTTGTTTCAGATCACAACTGAAGGACGAATGTTGAATGAACATGAAACGGCTATAATATGTTTAAATCAAATATTTCCTTTAAAACATTTGAATCTGATGTTTCAGTTAGATCGTCAATTAGATATTTGTCTAAAAGATCGCTATATTGATATACGCAATATTGTTCGAATTGTTTATGGTTGTACATATGAAAGTGACAAAATTCAAGCTTATTTAAATACACTAAGACAAGATACAGCGAGTGGTGGACAACTTTCATTTGTAGTAGAAAATCTTCAAGAAATAATAAACGATTATTCAAACAGTAACAGTTACTTAACACATACTTCGCTACATACAGTAAAACCATTTACAAAAATTTGCTTATCATGTAAAGAAGATATAAAACTAAAAAATTCAAAGAACATATTCATGTTTTTTCTAATGAAGCTGTGGAAAATGGGGTAATGTATTTTGGTGAATGTCCTAAATGTCAAATTAAATATTATCCAAATGTTTACGAAACAAATAATGGTTGTCGTTTTGTTACTCATGAATCTTTAGTTTCAAATAAATATGTATATTTTGGCGGGAAGAATGTCTATACAGTACCATTATTGGTAAGGTTTTCATCAGATGTTACATTTATGTATGCTTCATTCGCAAATTTTTGTAATGGGTATAATAATACAATACATAGTTTATTAATAAGGAAACATGGTAAAGAAAGTATACAAGTTTAAAAGCAACCACTGTTACATCGTGAATTGTTTGAAGATGCTTGGTTTATTTATTCTACTGGTTTATTGACATTTTTTCTCTCAAATGAAGCTAAACTACTTATTCCATCAAGAATCAGCAATAAAGATGACATATATACATATTTTACAGACAATTATCCACGATGGAAAAGACATTTTATTGCATTCTATTCGAATCATTATAATACAAACAAATGTGGTCTTAGTTGTTCATTTACATGGACGATAGATGGTTGGCAAAAAGGTGGTCGTTTCATTTGCCAATTCAAAGATAAAAAAATCTTATCAGCTGAATTAGATACGTCGTCATCTTAAGTGCTATAGGGAACTGTGTCACTGTATTCATCTTTTCCCATCTTGTTCAAGATTAAAGCTTAAACTATCTTTTTCAAAGATTATAACTTGGAAAGTCGAGACTTTCTTTGGTGAAATTATAGTGTTCCATTGTGAATTCTACGAAAGGTTTACACACATACCCACTATTATTTATTTTAGGAGATGTTCACTGGGGTTGTGGTATCACACCAAGAAGAATTGCAGATGAAAATGCTCCTGGTAGATTTCGTAGTGTATCATTTTGTGAAAAACATTTGGCAAACAATAGTAAAGTTAGTGTTCAAGCGGTTGATGCAGATAAAGATTATGAATTAACTGATTGTAATGTTTCAAGGTTTGTAAGTTATAGTTGGCATCGTACGTAGTATTGGTTACGTTTTTAACACTTTTAGAGAAGAACGGTATACTGGTCGTGAAACATCTTACGGTATTATCATATCTATGTATAATTGTGGTATTATCATTAGTTATGATGAACTGTATCGTTCAGAAAGTACAATCAGAGTTTTACATCATTTGTTTGAAACACTTAAACAATTCACAGCAACATCCCGGGTTCCAAAATATTTAATATATGACAATGCGTGTGGACTTTGGTTAACGTTAAATGCTCGTATCAAAAATAAGAAAATTATTGAAACGTCAATATCTCAAGTAATACATAAAATGACTTTTGTTGTTGACAAATATCATATACAAAATCATAAAAGAGATATATGTCAAAAAGAAACAAATCCTAAAACATATCCCGAACTTGAACATATCAACACGCAGGTCTGCGAACAAACAAATGCAAAATTAAAATATTATGGAAACGCTGGTTCCTCATATTCTGAACCAACTAGTGCAATTTTTTACTTACTTTTGTTTCATCAAATAAATTGTGATCGGCTTGGTTTATCAATTTTCGATAAATTCAGTGAAAAAATCGAAAAAGGTAAGCTAATAACAAATAACAAAAGAAATAGTCACCTTATGTTCATGTATTTTTTTCTCTTTTTTTAGATATATCTGGGCATGATGGTATTGATGAGACAGAAATTCCAACAGAAAGTTGAATATGATATTATTTTTCAATTTTTATGAACAATGGTGCAATCTGGGTGCAAGGTCTTTTCCTGTGTTTCTTGATTCGGTCGTTGAAAAAACTGATATCTCAACGTCAGTGCCATAATGAAAACTTTACTTTTTTCTTTAAGTATTTTTCTTAAAGTTTTTGCTGTGGGAAAGCGACTATTTTTCGATGAACTTTTCTTCCTTAATTAATATTAGTCAGTTCAAAATGCTCAGTATTTGATATTCAATAAGACGGACACTGGGATTAACCAAGCAATGGTGAAACCTGGAAACATGCGGTTTTGCCACAGCTCACTGTTAACAGGGTGCCACATAACTTACTCTCGCACTAAGGTAAATTCAACCATTTGTTTCTGAGGGATTTAGAAGCAAAACAATCTCTGTATTTCAATACCTTGACCTTAGACACTATATTTTTCTATATATGGCACCGACATCAGCAGTTGTACTTGTTGTAGTTACGATTGGTGAACGGGGTTCAAGAAGGATCACAGAAACAGCATTTTTTTGTTTCTTTGTTTTGCAAATATTCAACCACTAACAAGAAAATGTCCCGAGAAAACTTTGTCCGAACAAAATGGTAAATAAAAGGAGCAAGTGTAAAAGAGCACGCTAAAATTGTTAAGAGTGAGCGACTGGCCTATCCTAAACATACCTGATAACTTGATATTTATATCCTTTAATGGACATCGACGAATAACTGATGATTGAACAGGTACTGGTGTAACAAAACAATTGTTTCAAACCAATTCATCTTCAATAGAACCTAAAAGGAGACGAAAAATAAAAAAACTATAAAAAGTTAGCTGATTCATTTTGTTCTGTTTCCAGACGCCGTCTTTCTCTTTTGCACAAACTTTGTAAACAATTTTCGCTTGATAAATCACCAAGTGTTGCATTTGTTGTATTGTCCTCTAATACAGCTAAATCTTGTCCCATGTCACGAACAGCGACGTAAACTGCACTAGGAATACCTGAAACAAACAGAAAGACTGGTTACGCCAACAAGTTAAAGCAAGAAACAGCCTCTAGCCTACAGATTTTCTCTTGAGAAGCTATAGCTAAACCTACGTGGACGAGTAAGGCGCTTCATTTTGTATTTCAGTTTAAAATCAGAGGCTGCGTCTTCAAGCAACATTAACTATTCGAATGTAAATTATTCGAATCCATATCTGGCGCTGCATAGCTAAATCTACCTGTACGCGTACCGGTAAGAGCGATCACACTCATGGTGTCGACCTCCGCGTAGGCTCAAAGTTTCAAGTACGTCTAGATTCATCAAAAGGATATACACGACGCCCAGCGCAGAGAGGCGGGGGAGGGGGGGCGGTAGTATGAACGTGAGCCACTATCAAGGGGGAAACAGCTGATTTCTGAGCTTAAAAAGTCAGTTTTAAGAGAAAATCGGCAAAAATCGTTAAAAATTGTTAAAAATCACTAAAAATCGCCAAAAATCAGTAAAAATCAGTAAAAATTGTTAAAAATCACTGAAAATCACTAGAAATCGGTAAAAATCATTAAAAATTGTTAAAAATCACTAAAAATCGCCAGAAATCAGTAAAAATTGTTAAAAATCACTGAAAATCACTAGAAATCGGTAAAAATCATTAAAAATTGTTAAAAATCGCCAAAAATCAGTAAAAATCAGTAAAAATTGTTAAAAATCACTAAAGATCCTTAAAAGTCGTTAAAAATCGCTTAAAATCTTTAAAAATCGCGAGATTAAAAACATAGATAGTCTCGACTATACAAAAATAACTGTTTCAAAGTTTTATCTTCTACCTCTTTTTGCAGGTGGAACTGTTGCTCTATCAATTGCTCTTTTTGATTTTGTTTTAGTTGAAAAAAGAGTTGGAGAAGTAGTCGAAGAGGAAGAAGGAGAAATAGAAGTAGTTCCATTACTTGTTATTATCTGAATAAGAGGTGTTTGAGGTTGAGTTGCTGATGTTGTCGTTGTAGTTGAAGACTGCTGTTGTTTACTTTTCTTTTGTAAATCCTTCACATGTTTACAATTATGATCTTTTAGATGACGATAATAATTAGGCAAAAGAATTTTGTCTGTTGTTTTAGGCAAAACCAATGTAATTCCACATTTACATGTAATTGTACCTTCAAATCCATGTGATGATGTGGAAACTTTTGAAGTAAAATCATCTCCATCAGTTAAGTTCAAATCATCAATCTGAAGATTATCTTTGTTGTCATCACACCATTGTTTTATCAAATTTAAAAGATAACGTTTATACTGATTAGCTGTTAACGGTATTGTTGTCGTTGTTTGTGTGGATGTTAATTGAGTTTGGTTTGAATTAGACAGAAGAGATTGCGACTGAGTTTTTCGTTTTTTTTTTGGTTCATTCAACTTTTCTTCAGTTTTTTTAAGCAGATATTCTTTCAGACAACTAAAGCTCGTTTTAATTCCTCCTTTGACCATATATTGACCAGATTTTAATTTGAAACATATTTCTTCTCTAATTTCATCTAATTCTGGATCATCAATATCGTAATTTAAAATATCACATACGTCATCAGACATTAAGAAACACGGTACACTATTAATATGTTGGTAAGCCAATAGTTTTGCTTGCGAACCACCGAGTAAGTCTTTAACTAAATCATAAAACTGTTGATCTGTGAAACTAAGAGCGTTCGATGATAATTTATCAAGATCAAAGTAAATTTGAGGCGTTGACATGAGCAGTTATTTTTTAAAAAACTAAAGAAACAGATAGTTTTAACAAGATCGAGGAAGAAACAAGAAGTGACTATAGTTATTTAGAAGAGAAGTAGACTGTGTAAAACACAGCTGTAAAATTAAACAGCTGTCTGTAAAAAGTATGAAAGAATAACACTCAAGAGAACACTTCTATAGCTGGATAAAGAAAGAAAGAGCGAGCCAAACACGTGCCAGAAAGACACAAACGACTTTCTGTGTAAATGTAAACACAAACAGAACAGTTAAGAAAGGAAAAGTTTTTCATAGATAGATATTCCAAAGTGTCCTCTCCGAAATGAGAAACAAGCGAACTCTTAATTTTTCAAACGAAGTCCTCCCTTCCATGTGGAAATAATGGAAACATAAGTAATCGCACACGCTTTTCTACTCTTTTCTTTTCCTTTCATTTCTATGCTGTAATGTAAGTAATGCATATATCTAAACCGACTGAATTCCTTGTTGAAATATTTAATTTTCCTTCTTCACCTGGCTGAAAAAATACCAAGAAAATAAAATTTAGTTTTAACAAAGCCGGCCTTGTCAAGCAAGACGTCTTGATCAGTTTCTATTATGATCGGTTTTTATTATGTTCGGTTTCGGTTATGATTGGTTTCGGTAATGATTGGTTTCGGTTATGATTGGTTTCGATTAACCGAAACCGGTGCATGCCTACTTACATCTCCCTTCGGTCGGTGTTCGCTAGAGACTATCTGCCATGCGTTATGATTAATTCTCCGACATGATGTGTCAACTTCGTAAAGTACCTTCAGTCTATATTAGGTTTCTCGAGAGTACCCAAAGAACCC